CTTCCTGTTATTTGCAAAAACTAGGGTGAATACCCTTGTCAGGGTATTCGCACCGACAACGCCTCCTAGGACCCCATCATACCCCAAGTGGCCCCATCGCGAATCGTTTCTCCCAAGTGGTATTTTCTTGGATCTGGCCTCTTCCTTTCAAGAGAGTTGGGGCTCTCTATTAGTCTGCGAGTGCAGTTACAAAGACCTCGCGGTTAGTCCCAGAATGGTTGCAATGATCCAGCAGGGCGGTGTCACTCGCCCTGTGGTGGTCGCGGCTTCCACCTGGTACCCCGCCCGACCCCTCCCTTTGGACAGTGCCCCTCAACTTAATGTGAGCAACCTTGGTCCATCCCAAACGGCCACGCCACCCCTCTACGGTATGGCGTGTGGTTGGAGAGAGAAAAATAAGACTTAGGAAAAGAATGGCTCTCTCGCTTGTTTGGCTTCATGCCCTTGACGTTTAGGTTTTCAATATGAGGTGCAGTTTGAACTCCCCGACTAGAGCTCATTGTCGGAGGTAGTTCCGGACGGCGAGCATCGATCAAAGAGAACGATGCCTTGGCCCTTCAACCCTTACCCTTCCTTATGAGGAATAGGTCGCGCTGGGATTTTCCCCTTGATGGGTAGAGGTCCTGGGGTCGCGGTGCATGCACCGCTATCCCCCTCATGTTGAGACCTGAGACTAGAAAAAAAGGAAAACTAAATCTCTTGCTATTTCCATGGTCGGCCCGCCGACCTTTCCTCAAATTGCCTAGGATCCCCTGATTATGCAATGCAATATCCAATTCTAAAACACTCAATCCAAAGTTGTTTCCGGTTCTTTCTCACGACTGATTCTCATGGCTGGTCCGACAACCTCTCATCAACAAGGCCACCCCTTTTGACCGCTCTGGCGGTCGCTTTTTCAACAACTATCTTCCAAAGTCGACCCGTCGGCCCACCTTCAATCCTCAACTTTCACATTTCCCAATATCCATTTCTTATGATTGTCCCAACGGTCTATGCCCCTCTCGACTTAAGGCTTGGCCTTCTTTATCCTGCCCTTCTCTTGTCAAGGCATCATTCTCTTTCATCCATCCTCATGGTTATTTCAATGACCGATCCATCGGCCTTTTCCATTTCACATTACTCATTCCAGCTCATTCTCAATCAACCTTTTCTCAATCAGTCATGCAGGGGACCCAAGTGCCTATTTCAAAAGAAATGACCCTTGTCAGGGGCCATTTCCGAACAACCTGGTCAGGGTCATTCTTTTCCATTCTCGGCCATTCCTTTCCATCCTCAAGTCGGACAGCCTGGTTAGGGTCATTCCTTTCCATTCTAAAGTCGAACAGCCTGGTTAGGGCCATTCCTTTCCATTCTCAAGTCGAACAGCCTGGTTCCTTTCCATTCTCAAGTCGAACAGCCTGGTTAGGGTCATTCCTTTCCATTCTCAATGTTAGTGCCCGAGGGGGTGGGCCTCCAGGACACGGATCCCATTTCTGTCTCGGGGGTTAGAAGGTGGTCATTTCTTGCAATTTTATGTGTGCGGTTTCCTTTGTCCATTTCTCAATATCATTTTACTGTTTATGCAAATATCCGACTTAGCGTCTAGTTGCTCGAATTGAGGCTCACAACCCCAAGCAGCACTAGCCCACCCGACCGTTCAACCATAGCAAAAGACCAGGGCACCCCCTCTATTTTCACTCTTTCTGGTTTCTCAGCTCTTGGCTATTTTCAAACTCGTTCACGACTCAATTGGATTAGGCTCCTAGGGAAGGAGTGTTCTTCACGCCCCTTAACCTATAGGTTCCATAACCTTTCGTGTATTCGACCAACATTCAATGCCTTGCTTTGCTCGTCAAGCTGCACTCACAGTTTCTTCTCAAAGGCACAATCCTTATTCCATCCAAAGTTCACAATGCACTCTTCCCAACCAGTCTCATCCCATGCCCCGTGTCATTGTCTTGCATATACTCTTTCGAAGGTAGCTCATCCAGAAAGTAGCCTCAAAATGCTATCTTCTAACTCATCGCAACACTATCTTAGCTAGTCCTTTCATTCCTCATGACTCACAAGCTTATTCGTAATATACAAACTCTGTCATCCCATATTTGCAAAAGGACAACACACTTCTTGTTCAACGCTGATAATATCTAATCCTTATTGTTGTCATGTGCCTCAACTCACTCGGTCTCTTGTCCATACTGTCTTTCCGCTGGCTTTTTAACTCCCAGACCGGAGGCCATAATTTCTCTCTTACTCTTCGCAATTTCTTGCAGTTTCATCTCACTGTAAAAATCCAAAGGTGTGGCCTCCACCCCTGCCTCCGGGAGTTTCCGGGTCTTGATAATCTAATCATGCTTGATCACACTGAGCCATTGTTGAAACCAATGACTGGGCGTTGGCCCAAACTCATCTTCCCATCTGAAGGCTTCTTCGTACGACTGGTGTATCGGGGTTCGCCTCTCTTCTCTAGGCCTTGAGATTTCATCCCTCTCATCGCCACTGCTGATCTCTATGACCTCTTGTACTTCCTCCTCCTCATTCACCTCTTCTTCCGTCCGTATGGGGCTGAACCCACCCGTGAGGTTCTTCGGATCGAAGCTATAGGGAATCTTTGTCCTCCTCCCATACCCCTCTTCAAAGTCCGGGTGTCTCCCTTCACAGCTGTCATGACCGCTCCGCTCTTCATGCGGGCTTTCCCTTCTTTCTCCCCCGTCTTCGCGTTCGTTGCTCATGTCGTGTCTCCCCTCGCTCTCCCCATGCTAGGACTCATGTTGCTCGCATCTCTCGGCCCCTCCCTTGTCAGAGGCGTGAGTCTCTTCTCCTTCTGGTTTACCCCCTTCTCCCACATTCGCCCTTTCTTCCTCGCTTTCACTCCCGGATGAGATATATATATCTTCTCCCTCCCGGAGGGGCGAAGATCCTCTGCACACGTGCTTTCTCGCTCCCCTGCCTACTACATGCTTGGACATGTACCCTATGTACAACTTTCTCTTCGCAATCCACTCTCGACTTGATCCCGCTCCTCCCCCTTCGGTAGGCCTGTTGATCGCCCCGCTGTCATTCTCGTTGCCAAATTCTATTTTTTCTTTTCTAAGGTTTCTTTCCTGACCCTGTAAAATAGAACAACACCCGCCAAGCCCCTCATACGCAAGTTTCCCCCGTTCGGTAAGCAATACCCCTTCCCCCAGAATACTCCCACTACCCTTCGCATCAGGCCACTATTATACACTCCCCTCTCATGCAAATGCCACAGTTGTAACGATCCCATTATTTTCCCATCAAAAACTATGATACAATGCTCCAAACAACCTTCCCCCTCGTCACACAAACCCCGTTATCACAAGTCCCAGGACATCCCACCTTCCAACTTCAGTCCAAACCATTGCCCATCCCCAAAAGAAAAAAATGACAATGACATAGACGCCGTCAGTGACAAAACCAAAGTGTGGGCAAGTCTGCTGTCAGTCCTTGGCTTGCAGCCCCTCAGTTTCCTTATCCTCGGCCTCCTGAAGCCATTGTTCCACTGGGTCCCGACTTAGAAAACTGACCAATCGTTGCCTCGGGAACCAAATCTTCCAGTTCGAAGGTGTTCAATCCCACCCGCTTGGCGACCCGGTAGGGGCCTTTGAACCTCCTCCCCAGTTGCCCAAACCAACTACTTTCTAGATCCGAGTTTCTTAGCAATACCGTCTCCCCCACCTGAAGTGGTTCCTTTCGGATATTCATAACCTGGTCCCAACTTGATTTGTCCCTCATTCTGCTGTCTAGTAACCAACTGGCGATGTCTTTTATGACCTCCTCGTTCTCAAGGACTTGTTGACATCTTGCCTCGTGGTCATACGCGGATCGTCATCTGTTCCAGGTAGGTATCAAGGCTCCCATGGGAAAATCGATCTCTCTTCCGTACAAAAGTTCCGTTGGATTACATCCCGTCGTCCTCTTAGGTGTCATGTTTTCTGAGAAGACAGCCTGCTTAAGATACCTAGGACAGCTCCCCAGATGGTCCGCTGCGAGCTTCGCAATCGTGTTCTTTAAGGTCCGGTGCCCCCTTTCCACACGTGCATTGGCTTCCGGGTAATATGGCTCGACGAGTTTGATCGGTACGCAGAGCCTTTTAAGCATTCCCAACACTTCTTGGTTCACAAATTTTGTTTCATTGTCTCCTATAAACCTCCTAATGAAGGGATGCCTCAGATAGAAATCTTTTATCCAACAGCTACACTCCTCCCCGTCTTCTTGTTGAGGGCGACTGCTTCCACGAACCCACTCAGGTTGTCCCGTGCGTCCAGGATATATATCCATGAGTTGACACGAGCATAACCGCAAGGTCAAGGTGGACCAGATGTCCCAGCCCCAACACCCGTGTTGGTCTAAGTGGCTCCAAGACGCGAGCCAAGCTCCGTTCCTGGCAAATCAGGCAGGTTTGAGAGTACGTAGCGACTATACCCGCCATGCCTTGCCAATAGTAGAGGGGCGTCATCTTTGCAAGAGTTCCTTTGGACGATCGATGTCCTCCTGCTAGTCCGTCGTGCATTGCCTGGATCACGTCCAACTGCCTAGACCTTCCGCATACAACTCTCCTGGCATTACGCCTTCTCCTCCCTTCTGAATAGATGGCCGCCCCTTCGGACGTACCTCTCGACATCCTCCCTTGCTCTAAGGCTGACTTTCATGGGTTGTTTATTTCCTACCAGCAGCAATCCGATCTCCCGAAAAATCCCTTCGTAAATCTGAGCATAGAAAAACTCCCTTCCTTCCTGCTCCTCGTCCTTTCTCTCCTTCATCTGGTTTACCATCCACTTACTCTTTTCGTTCCCAATACTCCACTAGGCTCATTACGGCTTCCCGGCCTCCCTCAACCGCCATTGCTATTAATTCCTCCTTCGGTCCTACTATCCCTCCCCACGAATCCTTCTCCTCCTTGCATCCTCGAGTGGTGACTGGTCCTTCTCTAAGTTCTGCTACCACGACAGGAGCCCCCTTTTCCAAGGTCTGAATCAACTATTCTCCCGATGCGCATCCTTCGCCCATCATTTCATTATCCACTGCGAGTATCCCTCCTTCGTATTCAAGGAACGCATCTATGGGTTCCGCGTCTTCCACTACTTCGGGCGTGATACACACCTGCCACAGCCCATCGCCTTGTTTCTGAGTCCAACAATTCGTTCGATCTTGTAATCGAACTGCCAGATGAATCCTACCCATCTCCCCACCGTCGCGTCTATAGGCTTGTAATTCTTTAGAGCCCCCACGACATTTGTTGGGTCGATTCTTAGGATGAAACGCCTCCCAAATAGGTAGGCTTGGAAGGTCTTGAGGCAATGCAAGATGGCTAAGACCTCCTCCTTGAACTGTGAGTACCGCCGTTCAGCGGAGTTCAGGGTTCTACTTTCGAACCTAATTGGCCTCTCTTTTCCTTCCTCATCCATTCGAATCAGTACGCCTCCTACGGCCAAGGGTCCTCTGTCCGTCTCTAGGATGAATGGTCGACCCACTTCGTCATTAAACTAGGGTGCCGACAAGGCGACTTGCTAAGATGTCAGTATGTCCTTGAGGGTTTGGACGGCTCCTTCTCGCTCCTCCGTCCAATCAAAGGTCCCTTCTCCTTTGATCATGGCCCGGATAGGCTCAACAATCTTGGCAAAACTTTTAATGAAAATCCTCCAAAAGCCGACCACGCCCAAGAATGCTCTTACCTCCGTTGTTGTGCACAGGGTTGTTGGCCACTGTGATATCTTATCTGTCTTAGCCGGGTCTGGTTTCCTACCGTATGCGCCACAACGAAATCCTAGTATGGTTACTTCCGGTGCTGCTAGAATACTCTTTGGTCCGCTAGCCGTGATGTTGTATATTAGGAATCGACGGAGTAAGTCCTTGATATCGTGTAGATGGTCCCATACAAATCTTTGGATTCCCGACTGGATTTTTGTCTCGTCCTTCTCTTGGGCGCCTTTCGTCGGGTTGTCATTGATGTAGGGTCTCTGGAAAAATGTCTCCGACTATGGCGAGCATTTTCCTTTGCGCCTCGGCCACTGCGTTCATAAAGCTCATAGGGGTCACCTGCATCTGCAATTGTCCTACGGGGGTGTGCATTGCGGTGTATGGTCTGTCCCAAACATCCAATGGAAGCTGGTCGTACGTTGAGTATAAATCTATCAGGGAGTAAATGCTCCGGCCGGCGTGAGACTCTGCTAACAAATTGGCCTGAGGTAGCGAACTAACATCCTAGATGGTCAATGCATTCAACAACTGCAGATCTTGAATCCATCTCAGCGTCTTGTTGGGTTTTCGAAAGACGAACCACTTGTTCGCGAATGGTGACGTCGTAGGCTCTGCTACTAAGAAGTCCATCTTTGCTCGAAGAAGGTCTGTCACTTCCACTGCTATCCCAAATTCATAGGACGACCCCTTGGCATTCCATCACTCATGCTCTACCATGTGGATTTTGATCGGGGGAATTAGCTTCGCGTATAACCGCCCCTTTTGGCGATCACTAAAGGCAAATGCCAGGTGAAACTCATGGCACGTCCTTTTGATCAGGAGGGTTTCTCCTTCTGTTAAGAATC